CGACATATATATATATAGTCACAATACCCTGGCTTGTATTCTTATAAAATTTTTGTTATTCTTTTCTTCTCTTTTTCTTTTTACTATTGGAAAATAATATATCACTATGTGAAAGGTATAAAAACAAAATCACGAGCAATAAGATGACAAGCAGCTGACGCAAAACTTTGTCGTCGACGACACTACATTGATTACGTGTCCGATAGGGATAAAAATATACAACGAGAGTGTTTACTGATTGATTATTGATGTATTTATGAACGACGTGCAAAAAAGTTATTGTAATACATACTTTTAACATATCTTCCATTGATAAAAACATTAATTCATCTTGATGAATTTCAAGTAACGCAATAGCGATACGAAAAATCATTTCTATACCCTATACAATTGAATATTACGCATATATATATATATATATATCGATCTATAATCTATTCAATAAATCATTACTTCACTTAAAAATAAATCCATCACACGTGAAACAACATTAAGTGAAAGTTGAGTTGTAAATAATGTTAAAAACCAACTAGAAGCATACATTGAAGTATTAAAACTTTCGACTTGAAAATGTCGATAAAGTTCTGGTAAAAATTCCTATTGAACAATAAATATATTTATTTATAAATAACTAATAAAATTAAATAACATACTTGAATCATACATTCAAGTTGATACATACAAAGACCCAAACAAAACATATCAGGTTTATACATATCACGCATTGAAAAATCTTGCATTATAGATACAAGTACAGCAAAAGCTTCTTCTTCAGGCATCTATCAATATAAAATTCAATAGACAACAAAAATTATATATATGTATATAAATTTAATTATCGAAACTGACATGCATAAGTAATAGTCCAACAATAAAACCAATGCCTTGACAATAACCAACTTCTCGATCAAATAATGAATAAGCCTAGAAAAAAAAAAATTTGCAAACCTGTCAAAAAAAAAAAAAAAGAACAAATATAATAACGTGTTGAAATATTCTATTCTATTACAAATGATAAGAAATGATCGATATCAACTATTACTATTAATTGTATAATTAAATCGTGATCAATCTATAGTTATAAAATTAGTTTTCAACAAAGTATTAAATGACACTTCATCAACAAGACAAAAAACACTCCGATTATTTGTCTGATGTTATAAACAAAATTAATTGGTACTAAATAATTTTATTTACAACTTACTGAATAGATAATTTTACATCTCAATATGTCATAATACTAAAACTAAATTATTACATATCAAACCTTGATCACATTGAATAATCTTTCTTGACCAATACCATGTTTTTCTTTGAAAAATTCATGTTCAGGATATGTTCGTGAAATATCTCTTCGAATAACTTTTTCACATGATGATGTCATTTTCATATAATCAATATATTTTTCTTTAGCAGTTGATGTATTAACTTTAGCTAAACATTGCCAAAGTAATGGACGAAAATGAACTGGAACACCAGCTCGAATTGTATCCTAACGACAAAAAAAAAAAAACAATTATTTATTAAATTTTTTCTTTTTATATTCTTCATATCTTTACTTTAATCCATTGAGGTTTTTTTCTCATATAAGCAGACCAATTATTTATTATTTTATTCCATTCACTCCATTCATTTTCAACATTAGCTAAATATATAATTTGTTACGCGAAATATAAAAAAAACCTATTTAATTTTTATCGAAATTATACCATCACTATCAATAGTTAAACTACTTAAATCACTTGAAACTGAATCTTGTCGTAATGGTTTATGATGTAATTCAGGTGAACGTGTATTTACTAAAGTTCCTTGAGTTGTATTAACAGGCGACTTTAAATCATATGCGATACGTCTGTATATGAATAGAAAAAAAAACACAATATCAATAGACATTCAAATAAATTGAAATAAAAGAAAGAAAAAAATAATAACATAATCTTTATTTACCGATTCTCTTCTTCGAGTTTTTTCAATAGTTCAATTTCATCAACAGTCATGTTAGCTACATACAGTTGTTGTGAAGAAGATTGTGTCATTCTTTCTATTTTTTTTAGTCAATTGGACTCTACAGACAACACGGATGACAAATATATATATAGAACAGAAAGAAATAAAAGAAAAAAAAATCATCGAACAATTCGGTATATTTATATAGGTGAATAGAATGGAGGTTGAAGATGAATAAATGACATCATCGATACTCCACCGTCGCTATCGAATTGATGATTAAACATCTTCAGGTTCTTACCTTCTTTTGCTTTCTTTTATTTGGTGAAATCAATTGAGTTTTATAAACAACGATCTACTTATGTATAGACTATACAATTTTACTCTATTAATCATTTTTTTTTGTACTCCTATACGGTGACACACACACATCATTAGTACTCTATTATTTCAGACATATATTGATATTCTTTTGTCTCTGATGAAAAAGAAGACACGATGCAACGAAATAAATTATAAGTAAATAAATATACAATTGTTGTCTATGTTTAAGATCTCTAGATCAAAGAATGATACATATTTTCTACTAAGTAAGGGTGACATGCAAATTTTGTTTAGACAAAACAACTAAATGCGCAAAAACTAGCCATACAATAGGCTCTCTATCTATGTTTTTAAATCGACACGTGAATCTTTTTTTTTTTTTTTTGTGAGACATCCTTACCGTAAATGTTGATGATGATTACATGATGAATAGTATATAGAAGAAGAAGAAGAAAAAAAAGAAAAGACTTGCTTGCTTGCTTGCTTTCACATTTTTCTCTTTAGCCTTTTTTTCTTTGCTTTTTTACCTTGAAACGTCGCATTACATTGCAATTCTTTCTCTTTCTCTCACCTGTAACGGTCGAACTAACGCACATATTATGGCAGTATTCTATGCATTTTTTGCTTTTACCTATTAAGTATAAAATCAAACAAAGAAAAAAAAAAAGCCCATAGTCAACGAGATACTTGTATACATAGATAGCATTCTTGAATAACAAGAAAGGAGAAAAAAATAACGTTCGTTTATATTATTTACCCGACAGGAATCATCCCTTCCGTTATTTATTGTCAAACGAAGAGAGAGAGTAGAAAAAAACGGAAAAAATAAATAAATCAACCTGCCACCAGGGAAATATACTATCCGTCATCAGAAATAATTCGAATGTTCGAGTTCATAATTTGTATTTATTATGAGTTCTTAGAGTCGATAAAAAAAAGACGGCCAGAAGAATTGTTCATTATGTTAATGAGAACGACTCAAAGTCTGCTGTAATTTTCTTTCTTTCTTTTATTTTTAACATATGTCAATATTTATTTAGATTACTTTAAACATACTCCATTTTCTGTCTAAGTACATAAGGGAATGAACATGATCTGAGAGAATAAAGCAAAAAAAAAGTACTCAAAGTGTTATGCTTAATCTCGACATAATACAAAAAAAAAGTGACTTCTTATTTTTAATTTAATCTGTTATAATGATATTTAGATTTTTATGAGCTATTTATGATTTGTAAACAAACATTTATATAAAAGAAAATATAATATTTATTAATCTTTTTGTTCATATGTTCTTGTCCAATAAATAAGACTAATCAAATTAGCTATAAGTATTAATGGAGGAATAGGATAATCAAAACCACAACCATGTGGTATACCATTTTTTGGTTCTTCAGGTAAGGCAACACCAATACCACCATGATGAGCTGCTCGATCAAGTTGTAAATGATGTTCTCGAACAAAACGTCGTGCATGAAATGCATGATATACACATTTAATAGCTCGACGAAGACCACTGAAAATGACAATACAAAAAAGAAAAAAAAAAAGAAAGCAAGCAGTGGTATGGAAAAGAAAAAAAGAAACAAAACTTCTTTACTTCAAACATCCAAGTAATATAACACTTTTGAAGGTTAAATGAATTCCAAACAATGGAGTCTTTGTTGATCCAACAATTGACAATAAACATAAGACAATCATACCGAGAAATAGACCCTGAAAAAAAAAATTACCTTGAGTTTTATTAAGAATATGTATGAGAAAGAAGATTTTTAAGAGTACATATTGATCATTTTTATATACATGGCAAATGTATATGCTAATCAATACAGTTCGTTTTAGAACTATAAAGGTCAAAATACATACTCAAATGTTACTAATAGTACTTGTATCAAGATTATCTTCATAGGAAACCTTTTAAATTCTTTTTTCTTGCATATATAAATTTAGATTTTATATCGATATATATTCGAACCTGTAAAAATCCAACAATATCATAGACAAGACAATGTGAACGATGTTGACAACATTGTTCAAGTGCTTTTATTTCTGTTGCATATTCTTCTGGTATTTCTCGTTTTGATTTTTTTGTTGGTTCTTTTTTACGAATTGATTCAAATAGTTCTATATAAATAAAACTAATTAATTTCATATTGATACAATAAATGTTTTTGTTTTTTTTTGCTTTCTTACTTAATAATTCTTGATTAATTTCATGTGCACATTCACCTTGTAAACCATGTCCAGCATTATCAAGTTTAACAAGACGACAACCAAGAATCTATAATATCAAATAGAAACACAGAAATATGTTTAATTAATATTAATCAAAAGACAAACTCGTCGAATCATATAAGAATTGGCTTCTCGTACAAGACGATCTTCAGTACCAACCATAATTAAACATTCAAATGGTGCATAACGAATTTTAAGTAAATCTGCATAACTAACATAATGTCTATAAATAGCAGTTATTTGTCCTATCAGACCAATAAGTGTTGGTGTAATACGTTTTCGAAATCTTTCAACATGATAATCATATAATGGCTAAAAGACAAAAAACAAAAACATATTATTTATATAAATTGATATTTTGTTTGTTTTTTTTTCTAACTTTTCGTTTATCTGGATCATTTAGTGTGTTTTTACCATAGAGCATTGTCATAGTATTTTCTACTAATAAATCTTCATCACGTAATAATATTGATTGAGTCATATGACGAATACCAACAAATGGTGCTCGACCAGCAAGACCACCAGCATGTGTAGCTAAAAGTGTTAATGAAAGAACTTTTTCTGGTGCTAATAATGCAAATTCAAGTGCAATCATTCCACCCATTGATATACCAACAATATGACATTGATGCCATTGTAAATGATTAACAAGTGCAATTGCATCTTTTGCCATTTGAGTTGTAGAATAATGAATAGTTAATGGAGACGATGAACGACCATATCCACGATTATCAAACGTAACAAACTAGACAAAAATAAGACTAGAAGAATTTATAGATTTCATTATATTATATATACTTGATAATGAGGTTGTTGGAGAAAAAATTCAATCTAAGAAGAAAAAACAAAAAACAAAGAAAGAAAGTTATTTAAGAATGAAATTAATATTTTTTTATATTTTACTTGACGATACCAAGCTGCACCATCAGCTAATAAACCCATAATAAATAATATTTTAATTTCACCTGAACCATGAACTTCATAGTATAATTCTAAATTTTGATTTAGAGCGGATAATTTTACATGAGGCATGGTTTTTTTTATTCAATTATGAACTTTGGTCCTAAAATGAATGTCATATTATTTATCGTTTAAACTATTGATAGAATAAAGAAATTTGATTGGATGATATATATCCATTAAGATTTGACGTTGAAGAACTTCATGACAAACAGTATTCTTTAGCGTTATTATACATGAGGATACAAAATATTTCCAAGTAAACTAAAAATACAAATACTCAGTTTAAGTATATTTCAATACTAGAATAAGTTATTTTGAGTTAGTAAACAGTACTTAGACACCATTCAAAAATTAATTTCGCTCATCTTCTGTTGTATTGGTGTAAGGTCATGTTTTGAAAACCTTCTTTTCTTTTCTTTTTTTTTAAATTTTCAATCAATGATTATGTAAAAATGATTGAAATAAGACATTTTTGAATGTTAATCAATGAAGTTCAACAGATATATTTTACTTTCTATCAAAGCATCGAAAAAACGAAAATAATTCAATCAGATATGTTTTTCTTTTTTATTAAGGAATCAAAGTGATACTCGGTCATAATTGACTGTTATATTGGATTTGGAATTTTGATATGTAAAAAAAATAAATTTATTTGATAAAATTTAATTTTTGGATAAATAATCATAACATATTCAGTCAAAGATTCACTGAGAGAAAATGTTCATTTTTACCAGAAGTATTACAAATTATGATTAAAAAAAAGTTTGAACATTATCATCTCGAAATTTGACGTAAATGTCTATGAATCTCTGAAGAAAAAATTAGTGTACTACATAATTAAGTTTAATCAGAAAATTGTTCATCCCTATCTATATCAATAATTGTTTCATAGAATGAGGGTATGCGCATGGGTATCAGTATGACTATACTCTTTACGTCATCCATCCAGTATCCTGCATCAATATCGATAGACATAACTACAACTATACCAACAGTCACATTATTCAGATCTGCTTCGATAAAACAATTCTCGATGTTGTCTTTTATCAAGCAGAAAACTGAGGTCATTTCCTTGGTTGACAATTTTGATTTGGATAGTACCCTACGATGAGTATTAAAGTCACTTTATGTGTCATCACTCAGATCAATCTGTACATGATGATTATTGTAATTTTTTTTTTGTTTTTTCACATCGAGTTGCAAGCATAAGAGTAGTGACATTTGTTTTACCTTCAGTCTGGCTGGATTGGAAAAATACATTTCTTGATGATAATTGATCATTATCACGATCACTATTCACATCTATCTGTATTTAAAAAAATGATTGATAGTAATATTTTTCTTTTCTTCATCGTCTTCCGAGCCTAAACAAGAGGATATTTTTTTTGTACTGCATAATACTGTTGATTATGCATTACACTGCTTGCTAGTATAAATATAAAGACATTATTTTTACCTTCTTTCTCTCTATTACAAAGCAATTGCTTCTTTAGAATCTTATTTTTACTCTTTCTCTTCTCATTGTTATCTAATTGTATTATAAAAAAACATTGATGATATTTTTTTTTTC